GTTTTTTTTTTTGGCAGAACCAGGAATTGAACTCAGGCCCTTGCGCTTGCCAGGGAAGCACTTATTCCACTGAGCCATCTCCCCAGCCCCTAACAGTGTTAAATGGTAGTTTTTTTCAGGCACACAGTACAGTGGAGAAACAGGAAGAAGGGAGAAGGGAGAAGGGAAAGGGGCTTTATTTTCTTTGAGGACACAGAAAGAACATGGGGAAGATAAGAAGTTCTTTCAATTAGAACAAAGGGAGGCTGAGGCTTTTATGGCCTTTTGCCAGGGGTGAAGTTTGAAGGGGATGCTTAGATATACCTGAGGAGCTGGTTGGGGCCTTCCCTGAGGTGGCAGGAAAGCTGAAAGGAAAGTGCACCCTGGGCTGAGGTGGAGAAGAAGGGGAGAGGTGGTCTCTGGGAAGATAAGCTGTTGTTTTAAGGGCTTCAGCACTATTAGATGACCACCATGATTTAACAATTTACACTAGGGCCAGAACCCATCACTAAGTATCCAGAGGAACAAAGTTAAATGTTTGTTGAGTGAAAATTACATTCAACTCAATCTCATTTGTACAGCCTGGGCTATAAAGTGAGTTCAAAGCCAGCCTGAACTACATAGCAAGACTGTGTCTCCAAAAAAGAGCCTTCTCGGCTCTTCACACTGACTTTTCTGGGTTTTGTGGAGAATTTGTTTAAGCTTTTTTGAGACAGAGTCTTGCTGTAGCCCAGGCTGGCCTTGAACTCAAAGTGACCCTCCTGCCTCAGCCACCACCTCCCCAATTCTAGGATTATAGGTATGTGCCACCACACCTGGCCTGACTCTTCACCTTGAAAGAGATCTTCTATGGGGCCCACCCACATCACACATGGGGCGGCCTCACTGAGTACTTACTTGTCTTAGTCACTTTCCAGACTGTCTCAGTCACCTCCATCTCCTCTCCACTCTCTAACATCAGCTTGCATTTCATTGACTCCTTATTAATATATGTGTAATTAACTAGGGGAGTTTAGGCAAGATGACTTCTAAGACCCCTCCAGCCCTACAACTGTATACTAACAGCTCTTGGTTGGTCAACATACCTCTCAGTGTCACACAGGAAGGATCGAGTAAGGGAAGATACAAGCAGTCTTCCCTCCAAATAGTCCAGCTGGACAACACAGGAGTCAACTGTTATTATCGTCTGAACAGGAAACATCACAAAGGCAGCAGCTGCCTAAAAGGGAGGGGAGAAAACAAAGAAATGCTTTTCATTAAAATATAAACACACAGACACAATCTCCTCCTCGCCACCTTTGTTGGAGATGAAGTTCCACTAAACTGCCCATGCTGGGGGCTGGTGAGATGGCTCAGTGGTCTAAAGCACCAGACCGCGGTTCAATCCCCCAGCACCACATACCAGCCAGCCCCGTCCCCTGGTGGGCTGAGCTAGCCCCACACACACACACAAACAAAAAATAAAAAAAAATAAACTGCCCATGCTGGCCTCAGACGCTTCATCCTCCCACCTCAGCCTCTCAGGCCACAATTACAGCACC